CCCCCCCCCCCCCCCCCCGGGTTTTTCCCTTCTTTTAAGTCAACAAGTTAATAGAAGGAATGACCAACAAAATACACAAGAACCACCTCAAGCACTTGGAAGCTCACCACAGTCACTGATGGTCACCTTCTTCCTAGGACGGTCACCCCTATCTGTCTCCTGTGATTCAATCAACCTAACAATATCCATGCCTTCCAAAACTTGGCCAAATACTACATGCCTCTGATCCAGCCATGGTGTCTGAGAAAATTCACCAAACAAGTTGATTATGTCAAAACCAAGGAACACAAACAATTTCAACCGTAGTTTACTACATAGATAGCTATTTAAGAGTTTTTAACATTTCATCATAAATATGAATCAAATGTTAGGTTGTAGACAGCATTAGATTCTTCAATTATAATTTATAATCAATGTTGTCAGAATCAAGACCTGCTCCCACAATTTCACCATATTACGACCTGCTCCCAAGATGAATCAAGAGCAAGATTGTGGATCAGACCTTTTCCTCGAATGTGGGATTGGACTTTTCCAATCTTGTATGACCTGGTTTCCCTGAATGCAGTTTAACCTTTTGCCATAAATCGGCACATTCTCCCTCATTCTCATACCTATGAACCTCACAGCACACTCCATTTTCTCTCCCTCTTCAAATCTCTCAGTCTCTTGGCCTCCCCTCTTGTCTCTCTCAAACTCTTGGTTCTGATTTCTGAAATTATTTGCTGCTGTTTGTTCAGACTTGCTGTGACTGTGAGCACACTGCTTGTCTTGCACTCTGACTTCTGAATCTTTCAAGTTTAGATCCTCAGTGTGTGTGTGTGTGTGCTGTGACTATGAGTGCTGATAGTGCTACTACTACATCAGCTGCACTTATAGATTAATTTGATGTTCCTAATGCTGGAGAGAGTGGTGATGAAAGTGGAGCATGAGTTTAATGAAGGTGCAGCATGATGAAGGTGGAGCATGAGATTAATGAAGATGCAGCAAAGAATGTGTTCGAGGATAACATATAGTATGTATGCATGCATGCACGCATCTATCTATTAGTGTAAATGTATAATTTAGCATTGTTTTACAAACTTGCAACCGCCTTCCTGATCCTAAGTAGGATCTAGATCTTTGACAACATGGATTATAATATGTTGAAATTTGCTATTTTCTATATTTGAGGTTTTCACAGATGAAATCAACGATCTTGTCATTGATTGCACAGAAAAATAAGCAAAAATTGGCATATTTTAGTGACAGGGAAGATCAGGCTCATTTGACATGCACATGGAAAAGTTGCCAATAAAGTTAACAGATGATACCAGTTGCCCAACAACCATGTTAGTTTTATACAGGCATGTGTTAGAAATACAGCATACTCATTTAATCACAGTATTTTGACTTTTACTCGTCTTTCTTTCTCCATCCTCAATCCTCATCTAGGTGTAGTGGCTTGCTGTTTTCTTAGAAGGGGTGAAGAAGGGGATGAAAGAAGGAGAACACCAGATATCAATTTAAACTCGAGTGCATTTTTTTAATACATTCCCATGTGCATGTTTGGATTTGATTATTTAAAAGAATAATCAAGTTAACAGGAAGTGCATGGAACTTGGGGAAGGGTTTTGACCAGAACAAGCATGGATAATTGAAAACATTGAAGAGAAATATACCTTGACAGTGCATATGAAAAACTGACTCCCATTTGTGTTGGGACCTGCATTTGCCATGCTAACAACTCCTGGTCCAGTATGAGACACTAGAGATATTGTACACATGAGTATTAGTAGTAGTTTTGAAATTGAAAACAGGAAATGTAATGAGAGACTGACATTTAAAATTCTCATCTTTGAAAGTACGACCATATATACTTTTGCCTCCAGTTCCCTGCAAATGCAATATGTGATTGTTGATTGGAATGGAAATTGGTAAGAAAAAGAGATGTGGCATTGGCAATAACATACATTTCCTTTGTCAAAGTCGCCTCCTTGAATCATGAAATCCTTGATGACACGATGGAAGGAAGAGCCCTTATAGCCAAAGCCCTTCTCTCCAGTGCAAAGGGCGCGGAAGTTCTCCGCTGTTTGGGGGACATCGTCGCCGTATAGTCCAATCACAATCCGTCCCGCAAGCTTACCAACTGGATTCCCAATACTGATGTCAAAGTATACTTTCTGAGTCACTTTTGACTGCACACTTGCCTCCAAAGAAGAACTCGCAACAACACGAACGCTTCTGCTTCCCCTTGTTGCCCCTTTCACACTCACAGAACAACCGCCAAACCCAAACCCTCGCACAAGCTTAAGGTTAGAATTAGGGTTACGGTTCAAAGCTTTGGTTTCTCCAACATTTGACTGACAACACAAACACAAATGAATCATAAATAATAATAATAATAATAATAATCATAATAATAATAATAACAACATTCATTTCAACCAAAACTAATTACCAGTCTCGGTGTTGCAGTTGCAGTTGTAAATGCTGCCGCCATGGACATGGTTATGGATTGCCTCTAACAAACCTCACCCTCCCAGACACCTGACAACGGGACTGTGAGTGAGACCGAGAGGATATTATATCATCTCAATCTTAATTCTCAAGTTCAAGTAACATAAATTACCATCATATCCCTCTCCAACTAACGCATCTTCCAATGAATATCCCATGTCTTTAAAATCACACCGCTATTAATAGTAACATAGCTCTAAATTATGAAGTATAAATTTTTTTTAACTTAATTTATATATTAAAAATTTTATATTTAATAATTAAATTATTAAAATTTTGATATAAAATATGAGTTATTAAATAAAATAAATCTAGATACTTATTTTTAAAATAAATAATTTTTTTCTCTTATATATATGTATAAATATATATTAAATTCAAAACATATTTTAATAATTTTTATTAACTAATTTTTTAAATTTATTAAATTTAATTTTTGTTTATCATAATATATATTAGTTATATTTTAATATCTTTAAAAAAAATTATCAATTAATATAAATAATTTTGTATTATAATATAAATTAATTAACATAAATTTAAAATATATTTCATATGTTTAAAAGTACTTATTTATATAAATATTAAATATAGTTTATATATTTTAAAATAACATTTATTTATATATGTACCTGCCTGAGGGTACACTCGTAATCTTCAGTTTCTTGGCCATGCAGGTTTCTACAAGTGCTTCATTAAGGACTTCAGTAAGAAAGCCCTTCCACTATCCAGCTTGCTTCAAAAGGATATGGAATTTAATTTTGATGACAGGTGCAAGGAGGCGTTTGATTGCCTCAAGAGAGCCTTGACCACCACTCCTATCATTCAGGCACCACAATGAATAGTTCCCTTTGAGCTGATGTGTGATGCGTCAAATTATGCACTAGGGGATGTCTTAGCACAGAAGGTTGACAAATTACCTAGGGTGATATACTACGCTTCCAAGACATTAGATGTTGCTCAAGCAAATTACACGACCACGGAAAAAGAACTTTTAGAACCATGTAAAAGCATGCTTAGTCAATGAACTTGGAAAATGTTTCATTTTTAAATATTCATTGTTCGCTAAATCCCCACATTCGACTACATACCTAGTTATATGTTCGACTGTAGACTCAGTTAATTCTCCTGCAAATTTCGAAAATTTTGGGACTTTTATTCCTCTAGGCAATTCGACTTGGGTCACATAATCTGGGAAGGCTGACACGAAATAAGGATGTTCATTTCGACCTACATCGAATCCATGTCTATTCAATATCCTTTCTACCATTTGATCTAAGTTATCATTTGGATTTCTATTAGGTCGAACTACATTCTGATGAAAATTTCCATTCCCACCAAGATTTTCCATCTCTTTCAAATTTGCACTCATAGCTCTCGAGGGTGGCCCGTCACCCAATTTATCCCCTATTTTGTTTATTAACTCATACAAAGGAGTCATTATGTTATGCATTTGGGTTGACAACAGGTTGACCATGTCATGATTACTATGGTCCATCTGTTGTCGAAGAGCCATCATAGCTTGGTTACTAATACCCGTAGGTACATAACTACCCGTCGAATCAGAGAACCTTCCTGACTTGTTCCTACGTGTTGATATGGGTCTTGCATAACGAAACCCATGCCATTTGGTCCAGGATTATATCCCTGTGGGGATACGTGCATTTGCGGATTTGGTCCTAAGAAAGGCACTGACATTTCGGCATGCACTGGTTGGGTATTTCGCCAATTTTGTGGCATACCCCAGGGGTATTCCCTAGTGACATTTGCTAGTTCCTGAGTAACATTTGTTTGCCTAGTTGTATTTTCGAGCAACACAGGGGAAGATGCTGCCCCCTGGTCACATTAGTCACATTATCGGGGTGCTCTACATCTACGTGATTATTATTGTTCGAGTTTGTTTCTCTCTGATTATTAGATGTAGACATGGTCCTTCCACTCCTAAGTCTCATGCAACATGCATACCTAAAACTAGTCCAATTATGTTTTTTATTTCAACGAGTCCCACTGGGCGTGCCAATTTGTTTACGGTGGAATTTGTTTAAGGATTCTTTATATTCGGACTAGCATGACAAATATTTCAATTTAGGTATATTATGATTTGAATATTACAGGACGAGAGAAGGAAAAGTAGAAGGTTAGTGATTACTTATTTCTAGATGTTCCTCGATAATTAACAAGTAATAATTTGCATGCACGTAAATGCTAAAATGAACAGAATGAACAATGGATATATTCGCAATACAAATCATGGTTCAAATTACATACTGTCCAAGAGTTACAATTAACGCACTACAACTATGTGATTAAGAGAAATAAAGGAAGAAACCTATATTACAACTACTCCTAGAACAAGAAAAGAAATGTGGCCGAGAAGTGATCATACCCAAAGATAATTCCTCGCACGGAAGCCATGTGTGCAGGCAGAGAGTGCTTGAGAGTT